GGATGTTGTCTTTATTCTGGTGATGTAGACATTAAGTATTTGGGAATTTTGAACCTTGTCCTTTCCAAATCACTGCAGGGTATTATGCGCGTTGGTCTGTTCTCAGGAAGCTTCTGCATCAATTCCTCAATGCGGGGAAGAATAGTAACAATGAGAAGCCTAAACAAATATTATCTCTTGGTGCTGGCTTTGACACAACATTCTTCCAGTTGCAAGTTAGTCCTTTAATTCAATTATTATCCCTTAGTACATAGATCTAATTTGCGTTGATTCAACTGATACATTCCATTTTTGTTCTTGTTTTTTCCCCACCCCAAGGATGAAGGGATGGCTCCACACCTTTATGTAGAACTGGATTTCAAGGAGGTATTGGAATTTCTCATTTCTGTACTGAAGTGGATTTTACACCTTGATGCAATGTAATTCTTGTGTTTGTGATTTAGCATGCCAGTAGTTATCGAATCTTTCCCACTTGCATCTTCTCACCCTTGTGCACGCTAGTAATATCTGTCAACTGCAAATGTTTTTCAGGTAACCAGCAAAAAGGCCGCCATCATTAACCATTATAGTGAAATGAAGGAAAAATTAGGCTCAGAAGCTTCGATTTCAATTGGTACATCTCTCATTTACTCTCTGTGTATCATCCCTTTTTGCAGGTTGGGTCCTTCCAATTTGTAATTGGATTGACCCAAACTCCTAAACAATTTCATGCACTATACTAAAATATCCTTTTAGAACTATCTATTTGTCAATTATTCACTATATGTCTGCCTCTTATCCTATTTCTGTTGTATCTCACAGATATTTGTGTTTAAACACATACAAGGAGGCGTGTTGTTTACTGAGTAGCAGTAGTAGTCAAGTCTTATATTCCATACAGAAAATTCAAGTCACCTTTTGTCAAGTTCTCACTAATGTGTATCCACTGATTTATAGTAGCAAATAAATGGTCCTTGGAGAAGCATAAAGTACTAGTTACCATAGCAGAAAAAAGTTCCTTTTTCGTTTGGTTTCAGAGGTAGCCGTTCCGTCCTGTTTGGAAGAAAACTCTCTTTGTCTCATTGTGAGAACTTCAAAACTTAAAATGGATAATGAACTTTTGCAAAATATTACTTTCAGATTCAAGTAGAATTGCAAGTTAGAGTGACCACTACATGTTACAGAATTGGACATTTCTTTTTCTTGATGTGCCTGTAGCCTGCGCAATAACTTATCCATCTATTTCAGAAAAAGGTGAAGTAATAAGCACGCATTACAAGCTATTTTCTGCTGATATTCGTGACATACCAAAACTGGATTCAGTTATTAGCATGGCTGAAATGGATCCTAGGTAGCTTCTTTTCTCTTCTGATATGAAAACATGTTGAACTAGAAAATATGCCACACAATATAGGGACACCATCAATTAGGATACATGCATGATGTAGTTTCTATGTCTTTTTAATATAAACCAAGCTTTCAAGTGTTTGATATAACTTTCTGTTGTCATCAGCTTGCCAACCTTTATAATTGCAGAGTGTGTGCTTATTTACCTTGACCCGACTGCCACTGGTGCTATCGTGAGTTGGGCATCTCAAAAGTTCTCCACTGCTGTCTTTTTCTTATATGAGCAGGTCGAATCGTTCTCATGGTGTACTATATTTTGCCTCTTAGGTGTAGCCTTTGGAATTGATGGCTAATGTTTTGATGCAGATTCATCCTGATGATGCATTTGGGGAGCAAATGATTAGAAATCTTGAGGTATCTGTTTACTCTATGTATTTCCACGAACCACTGTAACCTTTAATTCACTGTGGCACATAAACCCTTTGGCTTAAGGTTCAGTAAAAAACTTGGGTTAAATTTGCATACTCTGGTGGTGCTTGTATTTGGTTAGCCCTTGCTCTAGTCTGTACCATTCAGTATAGATGTGTCAATCATTTTTTGTTTTAGCATTAATATATCACCTAGTGCCATCTGTCATCCTGCTGATGCAGAGTAGAGGATGCCCCCTCCTTGGTATAAATGCTACACCAACCTTGAGTCACAAGGAGAAACTTTTTCTTGGCAATGGATGGCAGGTACATTACTGATAATATGAATGAAATATTAGCATATCAAAATGTTATAGTTCCTGGGGACTGGGGTTCTTATGATCATTTTTTCAGAGAACTGTTGCATGGGATATGCTGAAAATCTATAATGACTTCATTGACAGACAAGAAAGACGCAGGTAATATTTCTAGTGATATCTATAAATAGTACTGAAACACAAAATAATGTTTTGACTTTCAAATATAAAAGAGGATGAAAGTGATAAGAGACCACTGAAACTAAAATATTTTGTTGGACGATGCTGGTTGGTACAATCATGTGAACTGGAGAAAACATCTTACCTATTGAATGTGATGCTCACCCCCGTTGAATTGTTCTTTTTTCTAGAGTTTTAAATTTGATCCTGGTTGAGAACTCAGTTTCCAGCTTTTGTTATAGCGCACCTTTCCATGATGTCACAACTGATAAGGCTGTCTGCAACGGATGCAGGATTGAACGATTGGAGCTGTTTGATGAATTTGAAGAGTGGTATATGATGCAGGTATGTGTCCCCCTTGAGAAATAATGTACTGCTCATTGCTTTGTTAATTTTTTTTTTTTGAAAAAGTTGTTAAATTAAGTGTGTTTCTGCATCTGAAACTTTCGACTTCTGCTTTCTGCTTTCAGGAACACTACTGTGTGGCCTATGGAATCAACGATGCCGAGGTTAGTTGACTTTATATGATTCTTGTGAAATCTAAACGCCTCTGTTCAGTCGAATCCACCAGCCTACAATTCTGTTTCGAGGCTAAATTTAGTCTTCTCAATTTCAGGGCATATTTGACAGTTTTGGTTTTAAAGAGACATAGTAGCACTGGTGCCTTTTCTTCTGTGGGTACCAGCTGTACGCCTGTACTTGTTGTAAACTGACACCATTCGTACTAGTCTTCCCCGGAGTAGCCTTTGCATGATAAAAGAAGGAACAGGGGTAGTAGGATACCTAAACCATCTCCTGATGTTGGGGCTTGCTTTGATAGGCTGTTCAAGTTCAACGGCGTTGTACTTGGTTTAACGTCTTGATGGCAGTCGCAGTGGTGTTTGATGTGAACTTGTGAAGCATGCCAGTTTGTCACAAGGGGCATGTTCGCTGGGAGGAATTCTAGATGAATTTTGATGGTTCGGAGGAATACTGGGGGAATTTGTGAGAGAAAAACACTGTTCCGGATGAAAAAAGAAGCGGATCAAGCCGGGTTTAAGGGCACGTGAACGGAGCCAATATGAGCAGAACGAGTCTGATAAGACTATGTTTTCCATCTTATTGTTTGCAAATTCAGTTTAGTGCGGAACCATGGCTGACACTGACAGTTCGATCCCGCTGGCTTAAATCTGATAGCACATATTTGCAGTAAATCCAATACATTACTTTAGCTTCTTCCGATAGGCATATATTGCGATATCGTGCCATGTTCGCTTGAACTTATCACTCCTGTTTATCAGGCATGATACAATGTTTTTCTCTCATAACAAAACAACATTAGTTGGCTTATCAGTCGTAGAAACCATCAGCCAAATAGCTCCACGTCCGGCAGTACCAATTGGCCTTCGATAATGATACCCTCAAGGTATCTGTCCTTTTCCGGATGGACTGACCTGCCTGCCCCCGCGCCTTGTGCCATGCACCGTCGCTCGCACCTTGCGCCGTGCGCCCCTGCCCACGCCTTGCGCTGCGCGCTCTTGCTCCCGCCGTGGCTGTGATCCATTTGCCTGTCAACCATGGGCGAGCTCGAGCTCCGCAGCGGCGTCGAGCTCCACGTCAACGAGCCTCCATTGGAGGGCAGCAAGTAGATGAGCACATGTTGCAACCGTATGTTTTCATGCATTTCATCAGATGAATGTTGTATATGTTTCATCTGGATATTTCAAAAGTAGATCTGTTGTTACATATGTTGCAATGGCTATAGACGTATGTTGTGTATGTTTTAAATATTTTAAATGTTTCAAGCATATGTTGTAAGTGTTTTATATGGATGTTGCATATGTTGCAATGGCTATAAACGTATGTTGCAAGTGTATGTTTCAAATGTTCAGCTGTTTCAAACGTATATTGCAAGTGTTTTATCTGGATGTTGCATATGTTCCAATGGCTATTCATGCATGTTGCAAGTGTATGTTTCAAAATGTTTCAGCTGTTTGAAATGTATATTGTAAGTGTTTTATCTAGATGTTGAATATGTTGCACTGGTTATTCACATATGTTGCAAAGTGTATATTTCAATGTTTCAGCTATTTTAAACGTATGTTGCAAGTGTTTTATCTGAATGTTGCATATGTTGCAGCGACCATATACATATGTTGCAGTGGCCATATACATATGTTGCAATCATATGTTTATAAATGTTTCATCTGTTTCAGACGTATGTTGCAGCAAATGCTTTATGTTGCACGTGTTGTCCGAAAGCTTAAAAAAAGCCCAAACAAATAAGCCCATAGACCGAGTAATACGTTGGCCCAAGCTTGAATGAACACTAACACATTACTGAGGCCTTGTTTAGATAGCTGTTAGGAATCAGTATTTGGCACTGTAGCACTTTCGTTTGTATTTGACAATTATTGTTCAATTATGGCCTAACTAGGCTCAAAAGATTTGTCTCATAATTTATAATTAAACTATGTAATTAATTATTTTTTTATCTACATTTAATACTCTATATATATGTGTCTGAAGATTTGATGTGAGAGAGAGAGTGAAAAAACTTTAATCTAAACAAGGCCTGACTAGGTCCGGCCCAACTGCCGCACAACACCGAACCTAACACGTCCCCTTCTCTCCTTGTCAGTTTCTTTCTTGCCAGGGAGGCCAAAGCCGAGGAAACAAAACGATATACGAATCCGATACGCCGCTCCCCTGAATCGAGACCACCACCGCTCCGCTCCGCCTCACCTCGCCGACTAGGGTTTTTGTCGCCGCGGATCTCGCTGTCCCCGCCATGGACGCCTCGCACACGGGCTCCTCCTCCGCCGCCGGCGAGGCCCCGACCACCGGGGAGCACCGGATGGGCACCACCATCGTCGGGGTCTGCTACGAGGGCGGCGTCGTCCTCGGCGCCGATTCCAGGACCAGCACTGGTAACGCCCTTTGGCTCCTATCGATCTGTGTATGCCGCAGGAGATCCTACCGCGGGTAGGGGTAGATTTGGCGCCGGGATGGCGTTGCGGGCCTAGGTTTTCGCTTGGATCGTTGAGAATTGAGGCGTGGCTGGCGATGTCAGCGGCCGTGACGTGTGCTGCCTTTCTACTTTGACTGTTAGGTTGATGATTCGTATACACTGGCGAGATTGGGCGAATTGGCCTGTTTGTTTCGCTGCTAGTCACTTAGTTGCTACTTGCGAGATAAGAGGAATTTGGGTACTAGCCTCAGCCTATGTTGAGGGGAAGTTGGCTCTCCTCTGCAGTCTGTTTAATTCTTCATATCATTGATGGATGTGTTTCGGCCTTTATTTCTGAAAGAAAAAGTTGTAGGATCGTACTCTGAGTTGTGCACTGTATCGCATATGATTAAACTAGAACTAACACCCACTGTTACAGTTTTTTTTTCGGCCATGTTACTGTGATCATAGTTCTTATGGAAATGTTAAATGTACGATGGCTCAGATTAGATTATGTGCTCGCTTTGGTTCAAGGATGAAATCCTGTTGATTAAAACGTGCCTCCTTAAGTTTGTGAAGAGTCAATACTCGTACTAGTCCAGAAAAATGATTTTGATCCTGTTTCCACCAAATAGATTTCATTAGTAAGCTGATATATTCTTTATTTATTTGGCCAAGTGCTAATATTTTTTTTGTTGCCTGTTCCAACTCAGGAATGTATGTAGCCAACCGTGCTTCAGACAAGATTACTCAACTGACAGACAATGTGTATGTCTGTCGCTCTGGATCTGTAAGTGTCGTTGTCTTCCAATGTTATTGTTGTATTAGGATGTCTGAGTAGGAACTTCTCATTTTGTCCCTTAGACAAGTCATTAATGGACACTCCTTGATGGTAGACAGCTTATATACTGTTGAGCTGAACCAGTCAAACAACATAAGAGTTAGTAGTTATTCTCATTGCTGTTTTTATACCACCTTGTCTTGTTTTGTCTTATATAATAGAATCTCCTTTGCATGGTGCCAGAGATGGCACATTCCTTTTTGCAAGTTTTTAGTTCACATGTTAAACTCTTGCTATTTTAATTTTATCACAGGCTGCTGATACACAAGTCATTTCGGACTATGTACGTTATTTCCTCCACCAACACACGTAAGTTTGTTCTTCATACACAACCTAGCATTAATCTCTCATTTGATAAATGAATATACTGAATGATACTTAACTTTGATAAATATGATGGTATACAATTACTTGAGATATTTGACATGCAAGGTAGCTGATGCTAAAGTTACCCTTCTGTGCAGAATCCAGCTTGGACAACCAGCTACTGTTAAAGTTGCAGCCAACTTGATTAGGTTGCTAGCTTATCAGAACAAGGTATGTTCCATAGCATTCCAGCACAGACTGTTAAAACGCTCTTTTACTTTCCTCATTGATAAGCACCTGGTGTCCGAATTTGATGTTAAACTCTTGTTGAACTACAAAAATGAATGTTTGTTATTGATATCCAGAACATGTTGCAAGCTGGCATGATTGTTGGAGGATGGGATAAGTATGAGGGAGGCCAAATTTTCTCGGTCCCTCTTGGTGGAACGATCTTGAAGCAACCATTTGCAATTGGAGGTATAATTTTGCCCATAAAGTTGCATTGTTCCCTTCTTTCAAGTCAGTATTTCAATGCTACTTCCTTCCATTATTCTCTTTGCTGTGACATACCTTTTGTGCTATGGCTAGTGATCTAGTAATTAAATCATTTACTGTTTGAGTTGTACATGATATCTGAGTGTTCATACTCTAAATCTTGTTATTATGAAAAAAAAACTTGCTTTGCTGAGAAATGACCTTTACTATTTTCTTGAGTGTATGCTACATCAGGTATTGTTTCTGACACAATGTTATCTCTGAATTGCAGGTTCAGGTTCCAGTTACCTATATGCCCTTCTTGATCATGAATGGAAAGAGGGAATGAGCCAGGAAGAGGCAGAGGTATGTCGCCAACTTCCTTCTTACTTAGATCCTGGAATTGAGATGCTCTCTAGTGTAGTAGTATGACTGAAGGTTATTAATTGTGTAAAGCGAATAGAGTACAAAACTAGCCTCAGTGTTCCTAATATGTTTCTATTGTTCATATATACAGAAATTTGTGGTGAAGGTAGTTTCCCTTGCTATTGCCCGTGATGGTGCTAGTGGTGGGGTTGTCCGTACAGTTACGGTAAGTTCTCTCTATTTTTGTGCAAATTTTCATGCTCAGTTCCCTCCAGAAACTGAAACGTAGCAATCACCTGAACTAGTTGGGTGTCATGGATTATCTTATGATGGTTTTGGCACTTATATCTAGCATGATGCTTTTGATAGCTTTCGGAGTGAAACTCAATAAGCTGTAACTGAAAATTGTAGCTTTTGATCATTTAACTTCTTGTGTGGTGCTATACATTCTTCTGTCCATTAATAAAATTGATTGTAGTTTCAAAAAAAAAAATGATTGTACCAAAATGAATTAGAACAAAGGTACAAGATCAATTGGAATGCGCCTTATCTCAATGCTGCTAGACTACTATACCATTTACTCTTCTGTTGATTCATTTGCTTGCTTACAACATCCACTCAGTGAATTCTATCTATTTGCTCAGTTTTCATTTTCTTGAGGTTTACCTTGTAAAAAAATATGTTCAGTCTGCAAGAATGCAGTGACCTTGCCTATACTTATCTCTTACTCCCATTTTCTATGCTTGTGTTCTCTTGGCTTAGACCTTTTTTAGATCAAAATAAACCCATTTGGTTACGCTGCAGATAAATGCCGATGGCGTGAAGAGGAATTTTTACCCTGGCGACAAGCTACCCCTGTGGCACGATGAGCTGGAGCCCCATAACTCTTTGCTTGATATTCTTGCTGCTGGGAACCCTGATCCCATGGTGCAGTGAATTTGCCCTCCACTTCATTTGTGAACTTTTCAGTGTATCTGACTTGTTCTTGATTTCAACCGAAGAATTGGAACAATTCCTGCTTAACTATTGTCACACCTGAGTATTTACATATTGTTATCACACCTTAGTAAATTCCTGTTTAGCTGAATGGTTGGTGTTTTGAGTTAATGTGTACTGGTTAGCGTGCTACTGCTGTGGTTGTATTTGGCGAGCATACAATTTCATCAGCCGCCAAATCATATGCGACGATGCATCAGTAATGCATCCCTCGTAGCAGCCATTCTATATCTGCTACAAGAAGGCGTTCTGTCCTGCTTTAGTTGACGGACAGTCGCTTGCTGATGCTCTTTAGCTAGAACGTAAATTTTAAGGTGACATGTAAATTGAAAATATACACGCTACAGTATTTAGTTTAATTGAGAGTTGCCTCAAGGAACATTAAACTCCCTTTACTGCCAGTAGCATGATTACGCAGAAACTATGATCCTGTACTTTTCAACTTGAGCACATCTCTTTTTAACTGTTCTTGCTTTCCGAGAAGTAAAACGAATTCAACTTTAACAAAATATATACAATACAAAAAAATAATATTCATATTACATAGTATCATTAGATAGATCATTGAATCTATTTTTATAATAAATTTATTTGGAGATACAAATGTTACTAATATTATTTACAAATCAAGTCAAAGTTACCAAAGTTTGTTTGACTAGTACGTAAACCATAGCGACAAATAATTAGGGATGGAGGAGTATCCCTGGATGCATCAATTATTCGTAAAAGTAACTCTGCCCATGTCATCGTTACAGTCGAACTTACAGGCGATAATGTATACTACACGAAGTTAGTAGTGAAGCATTTGTACAGTTTAAATTCCATTGCGAAATTATTTTCATTTTCCATCATCAGTCAGCACTATATTTCAATTGGGCCTGGTAGAATGTGCATCCAATAAACGCAGCACATTTTCACCCGCCCTGTTTTCAGTTTCTGTCATGGGATATAGTACATCGGGTTAGGGAGCTTGAAAGACCGAGCACTCATGGAAGATCCCAGCAGGTCGCTCCATTGGTCGCCGGAGTTGCCTAGGATCCTGCAACCCTCTTCTTCCATTTCTTTCCTCTTTTCTGATTTGTAGACTGTAGCAGTTTTCTTGCGGTCACCTGCTGCCCTGTATATTGGGAAAAGACACATCTCAGGGTTCCAACATGAACGTTGAAGAATAGTACTAGGTCATACAAAGTGCGCAGGCGACAAATATGACCGAGTTTAGTTAGAAGATGTCAGGTTCAGTATTCAACCAAAAGGATTCTGACCCTTAACTAACAGTAGGTATTTCATGGCAGTAGATGGGCACGTTTGTTTCTCTCGCTGGGAACTATTTAACCTTGTCCAGCAAAGGTCCTGAATGAGGCTGGCCGTCAGCCTGTTCGGCAGGCCGTAAACGATCGTGAATTATTTACTGCTGGCTGGTTTGGTATGAGAGAAAAATACTGTTCCAGCTTATAATCCACGATCGTATACGAGCAAGCGAACAGGCTAGTCACCTTAGAGCTTGTGCAAGCTAGTTTTGGCTTGCTCATGAGAGAGAGCGAAATCGGCTCGCCGGCCTAGGCGAGGTTCTCGATTTCCGTGTAAGCAGGCGAGGCGAGGTGCAGCAAAAGAACCAAATGTCCCCGTACTTTTGGACATGGTCATCAACAGCATAGTGGTACCAAATATTTGGATCTCAAGCACCTAATCAGAATTGAGTGCAACAGAACAGTAACAACTTAATCTGCTTATATATGATAATGCTAGTGCATTGCTGTGGGCGGTGATGTTGTAATGTGTTTTGGGAGTTTAAATTCTTAGCATTAGACTATACTCCTTATTAATAAGTCATTGTAATACATCTCTTATTCACACAGGCTATGAAGAACACTACAAGCAACTGAATTATTCATGAAACATTTTTTTATCAGATATTCAGACTAATTATTCTGAAGAACCAACAGGCAATGTAACAAACACAAAAACTAGCACACAAGATTGAAGCACGTGCTTGGAACGGTAGGAATCGACTGAAACTCATGTGCGAGGTGTACCTGAGTATGAGTTTTTCCCAGTCATGGAACCCCTGTTTGTTGAGGTTCTCCACCGTGACGCCTCGGTGCCCCTCACTTCTGCCCGTGAGCAGGAAGGTCTTGAATCCGAGCTCGCGAACCTCATTGTACAGCCTTAAGCTGGAGGGGATGGCGGCCGCCTCGCCCCTCTCCACCCACTCGTCAAACTTGTGGTGGTCGAACAACTCAGCCCTGCGGATTAAATTTAAAATCAAGCACGACATGTGAGACCACTACCAAATTCCGATGGAGCAGCTGATGCCTACCACTAATTCGTTGCGGTTTCGTGCGTAAAGGTTTTTTTTTCCTCTCCTTTTGGTACGACGTACCGAAAGGCGGAATTGAATGCGCAATGTGATCGATACCTAACAAACTAATTTCTGTGGAATTTCGTGAGTAAATTTCTGCCATTTTTGTGGACGTGGGGATGCGAGAGCGTGAGGTGGAGACGGACACGGACACGGACACGGACACGGAGGAGAGCTCACCCGTAGCCGTGCTCGGCGTAGTACGGGAGGTTGGAGAGCAGCGTCTCGTCCACGTCGAACACCCAGGCGTCGCGTCCATCGTCGCCGAGCGGCAAAGCCGCGCGCGCGTAGGCGGCGGACTCCCGCGCGACGAGCTCGAGGTCGGAGCGGTAGGCGGCGCCCGTGACGTAGTCCCGCACGTGCTGCGCGCACTCCGCCGGCACCGCCTTCCACGGCGCGAGGTTGTTGGCCTCCGCCGCGAGCCGCCAGCTGGCGCAGCGCACGTCCGGCGGCACGTCGTCGGCGTCGGCGTCGTGCTCCTCCGCGGCCCGCGCCGACGGGAGCTCGATGACGAGCGGCCGCGGCAGGAGGTGCTGCTGCTGCTGCTGCTCCGCGTCCGCGTCCGGCGCCGCCGCCGCCTCGGACACGCCCTGCGCTGGAGCCGCCGGGTCCGCCTCTGCCTCGGAAGCTCCGACGGCGAGGGGCGTGGCGAGCAGGAGGAAGAGGAGGAGCGTGGCGAGCAGGTGGGCGAGGCCGCCGCGCGCCATGTCCCGGCTTGCTATCACCGCGCGGGGGCGGGTCGTCGTGGGGGCCCCCGGCGTCGGGGAGCAGGCAGGCAGGCGCGGGGGTGGGAAGGCGTGCGGCGGGGGGCGGCACGGGCGGTAAATAGGCGGGGGGTGATGACAGCGATGGTAGCGCGAGGCAGGGGAATGCGTGTGGCTCCCGGCGACTTCGGGAGGAAGAGCGGGCAATGGCCGGTGGAGACGGGTTAAATAGGGAGGAGGAGCAGAGGACGGAGGAGGGATGCGTCCTCTTCTCTTTTCGTCGTGTCTTGGGAAAGCAAAGAAAGGGCTGCGAGTCGGAGAAGAAGAGAAGAGGAGAAACGCGTCGGATTCGAATCTGAGGGAGGAGGATTCTTCGGGTCGGGGCAACAGTGTGGGGTGGGGTTGGGACGGTGCTGACGTGCCGGCTACGGATTGGTTGTGTGCGCTGGTCGGGCGGGGCACACAAGTCTTGGCGCCGTGTCTTGGTCGGCGTCGCTTCGGCGTGAAGCTGCTGCTAGCGGAGGCATAGAGATGTAGAGATATCACACCTATCCTAAATTCCAAATCTTTATTACCATAAAAGTGTAGGAGTAGAAATCAAGCAATATATAGGAAGGACAAAAGATCCATGAGCCAGGTAATCCAACAATCACCCAATCTTGTTGAAGCGTTCGCAGAGCAGCAACGTTTGCAACAATGGTGAAACCGGCTGGGAAGGAGGCGACGTCGAAGGGCAAGCACCGCAACCAGATCGAATACATCGAGGACAAGGAGAAACGGCAGGTGACCTCCTCGAAGCGCAAGGGCGGGCTGCTCAAGAAAGCCTCCGAGCTCCACCTGCTCTGCGGCGCGCACGTCGCCATCGTCATCTTCTCCCATAAACAGGACGCGAACCCAAACCGTGTCGCCGCGGCGGCGCGTCCGGGCGGCAGACGCTCCTCCTCCACCAGGCGCAGGGGCGGCAACGTGTTCGCGATGGGCACCCCGTCCGTGGACCACGTGATGAGCCGCCTCGCCGCCGTCGTCCCGCTCGCCGGCTGCGGCGAAAACTACCACCGCGCCGCGCTCGAGGAGGACGCCGCCGTCGCTGGGCGCGAGGGGGCGGAGGCGACCGCGCAGCGGAGGGACGAGGCCAGGGAGCTCGTGGACGCGGAGGAGGCGCGGATGAAGGCCGTCGCGGACAAGGTGTGGCGGGCCACGGCCGTGGGGCGGTTCTGGTGGGAGGCGGACGTGGAGGCGCTCAGCGAGGCGGAGCTGCCCGAGTTCGGCGGCGCTCTCAAGCGGCTCAGGGACAATGTGCTGCGACGCCACGCCGACAAATTGGTGCTTCAGTAGTGTCAGGGCAGACACTAAACTGATCCTTCTGATTATTATTATTATTACATGTACGCTTAGCGGCATCGTTACCGATGGTTAGGTCCTTAATTAGGTGATTGTTTGAATTTTGATGAAGAATCAAATACTCCCTCTCTCCTTTTTGTTAGACGTCGTATTAGGTTTGTCCGATGTCAAACATTTGTATGTTTGACTATTGATTGTAAAAAAATTATATAGATTTAAATAATAAGATTTATGTTTTTAGATTTAGGCCTTGTTTAGATCACCTCCAAATTCCAAGTTTTTTCACTCTCTCTCCATCACATCAATTTTTGGACGCATGCATGGAGCATTAAATGTAGGTAAAAAAAATAACTAATTGCACAGTTTGGTTGTAAATCACGAGACGAATCTTTTGAGCCTAGTTAGTCCATGATCGGACAAAGTTTATCAAATACAAACGAAACGTGCTATAATGTCCAGATTGCAAAAATTTGCAATCTAAACAAGGCCTTACTATAAAAAATACTGTTATAATATATAATTCATATATACGTGGTGAAACTATAAGGATTTTTTTAAATATAGTTGATTATTAAGATAGTAATGTTTGACTTAGGACAAAGCTAATGCGACATGTAAGGGCCTGTTTGGTAGGTTGCTCCCCAACTCCTCCTAAGGAGCCCTACCCGGAGTAGGGGAGGGGCCCTACCAAACATTTTGTAGGAATCATTTTTCACTGAAAAATAGAGAAGGCACAACCGTTTTGGAGGAACCACAAAAACGGCTCCGACTAATAAGAATAGAGACAGTAAGGAAGTAATAAACAAGATCTATATATAGAATATCGTTATGCTACATATATGCCTAGCGCGCATCGTTACCAAGTAAAGGCCGTGTTTGGATCTAAGGGACTAATACTTAGCTACTATAACAATTAGCTCGTTGGATCCAAGGAGTTAATAGCTTTTTTAGGGATCCAAGGAGTTAATAGCTAATAATTAGCTCTTTAGATCTAAACAATAATAATTTAGCTAATTATTAGCTAAATACTGAACTAATAGCTATCTTACTAGTTGGACTAAACTAGCTAATAACGGTTAATATTAGTTGTGATCTAATATCGGTAAAAGCGTCAATTCATGCTCTAGTTAACATCGTTAGTGCCCAAATGTAACGAAATGGTCAAATAAAGAACCAAAGTTGATTTTTTTAAAATAGGTAATTTTGGACCAAATAGGTAAGTTCAAAACTAAAGAGGCCAAAAAAAAGGAAACCGAATTTTTTTAAAACCAAAGAAGTAAATTCTCGCAAGCTTTTCTTAGACCAAAGAAGTAATTCTCGCTATTTTAGTAGCTATACTAGTAATCGGCCAAACAAGGTGACGTACGGAGTAGGTAAATTCTTTGGTCGGTGGGCGTCCCTAGCTGCTCTGGTGCGACCGACGCGATGGTCGGTGGGCAAGCATCACACAGTTGACGTGACTTATGGTATTCCTCTGTCCTGGCCGTTCTGCGAATAACGATTGGCCATTTGGCCGGATAGAGGCAAGGTCAAGGAGATAGAGAGGAGAGTTGGCCCGTGCGTGGAAGCTGACCGCACCACCGAAACGTAACCAAACAGAGCTATAGGCCATAGCTACCGGCAGGCGTGCTAGGAAGGCCTGCTCGTGCTACACTTGAAATTCCACGACCGTTACCCATGCATGATGATAGAGATGCTCGGCAATCGGCATCCTTGGGCTGCCGCGGCGTATCTCTATTACGCGTCCTCGGCAGCACACGCCGTACCGCCCGGGGAACCACAGTTTTGAGCATCGTACACGACGATTGTATTTGGTATGCTATCAAACTGACGCATACTTGCTTCGTCCTATCATTTATTATTATTCTATAGGTCAGCAAGCTCTACAGTGTGGACCATAGCTTCAAAAAAAAGATTGTTTGTAAGCTAAACAAATGGCTTGCTTTTCGCTAGCGATCCTTACCATCCAGCGCCTTTTTTACATAAATACAGCACAATAATACACAACTGACGTTGAACGGGCTCAATTGATCATCAGTTATTGTCATGGCTAATAGAATATGTTGTTGGCATATGTTTTTTTTTTCTCTTACTCCCTAGTATATATGTCTCATGTTACTTGTCATTCTAGCTCTGACCACAATGATTAAAGAGGAGTAAAAAGATTGTGGTGCACAAAAAACAAAAAACAAAAGAGATGGATGCCCTGCTCGTTTTTAGCTTTTCTATGGCTGCTGTCAGGATAGTCTCTATCTTGCACTACTGGAACAAAGGATTTTAGGAGACAACTCAAATCATTTTCGGAGGCGGGCACAAGACCGCCTCCATAAATGGTCAGGAGGGCTCTAGGAACATGCCGGTCTCCAAAATCATTTACGAAAGCGGGCATCTTGACGAGGACATGACACATTCGGATACCACCATTGATTATAAGGTGAGCTCCTATATTTGCATAATTATAAAACTAAGAATTGGTTGCTACTTAATATTGGTATTTCAAATGTGCTTAGGAACAATGGTGATGATGATAGAGAATGGATATGTTATGCTCACCATATAACCAGTGATTGTATCCGAATATGTCATGTCCTCATCAAGTCCTAAGACAACCGCCTCCAAAAATCATCGATTAACGGAGGCAAGCATCTTAAGACGTCCGTCTCCGTTAATCGATGATTTTTGGAGACTGTCGTTCTAAGCGTCCGTCTTCTAACATCGATTTACGGAGGCGGATGTCTTAAGATATCCATCTATATAAATAGTTGCATCAAAAAATAATTCATAACTTTTTAATGACGGATGAAGACAAACTTTATATTAGAATCGTATCTCTCGACGCGATCTACAACTTTATAGTTGAGACGTTTTTGAATTAAAACTATTTAGGGTCTCAAAATATTATTGTTGTAATTTCACAGATTTTAAAATTTAAAATTTAAAATTATCAAACAATCTCGGATGTTGACATGACCTATACGAAAGTTATAGTCCCCAATACAATCCACAACTTTATAGTTGAAAAGTTTTTTTTATTGAAGTTGTTTATAGAGTCCCAAATATGTGTTCTAAGTTTGTAGATTTTGAACTTCAAAATTTACAATTCCTAAATGATCTAGAATGTTCACATATAGTTAATACCAAAGTTGTAGTGACCGACCAGAGCTACATGTTTGCTATTGACAAGTTTTTTATTTAAAATAAAGTCGTCTAGGGTCTCAAATGTTTGTTTTAAATTCATATATTTTGATATTCAAATTTTTGAATTTTTCAAATAATCTCGGATGGAGATACATTCTGCCCCAATATTGTAGTACTTGACAAGATTTAAAACTTTGTAGCTATTTTTTTCATTTAAGCTCATTTAGTGGTAAAAATATCTAATATAAGATTGCAAAATGTTAATAAACAATAGCATATCATATATATACACACAAATGTGTGTAGTGTAGTGGTGGAGCAGAAGTAGTGCTAAATGTCAGGTCACGTTAAAAGGAGCCGTTTAGGTTACAACACATTATTGCAAACTTTAGCCATCACACATAACACTAATAGTACATAACGTAAGTCTTCAAATAAACAACGTAAGTTTTGATACAAGTTCATGGTTGTGCCACCACCATGAACTCTTGTCACAAGGGACCATCTACCATTCCTATTCCTCTAAGGACTTAGGAGCGTAGAAGAATCCATAGGCGGGAGCTGCTGTACCTACAAAACTTAAACAACAGGAGGGTGATTAATACACGATTGTACTCCATATAGTAACAAGGAATTATGCAATTTGGTGTTGTAGCAAGGAATGCAGTTGGTTTTGCATAAAGGCTTTATATATAATTAAAGTGTACTTACAGCTAAGCAAGTGTGGCATGGTTGATAAATGCAAATCAATTAGCAAGGTGGAGCTCGATCTTCCACGAGTCCTTTCTCATCACAAGTCCATATCTAGAAGCATAGAACATTTAGATAATTCAAACTTTGTAGAGGGGTACACATTAACCCCACCAAAGACATGTGACACCATCCATATGACCCATCAGAGGGATATCTCGATGCACCAACCTTTCCCGAGTTTGGCCAAGGATGCCCACTAACGGTTATAGCATGAGCCGAGGTAATAGCTTATAGTCTAGCTACCCCACAGTACACCTCGCGTTGAATCCATGGGGAAACCGGTTGCAACGGAGTACTCGGCGTGCCACACCCATATATGACAAGGGTTTGTACAAGTGTGTTCATGTCTCACTACCATGTATATATGGTCCTCAATCGTCCCATCGAGCTACACCATTCGAGATATCTCTCATCTCGCCATGGTCCAACCCCTCGCTAGCCCTCGACTCAATTCTCATCAAGCTAGTAAAGTTCTAGATTCTTGCTCCATCTCATGTTGCTGAGTGAACAAACAAGTCCTACAATGCGAGAGATGAGAAACCCATTACCTTCTCAACTTATACCGGCTAAGCAAGCTAAGCATGGATTACACGACAATTGAAGTAAACAAGCACGATACAAGTCATATGGATCAACCACAAGGTATTGAGCTCAAATAGGCACTTTAGATAACTAGTCATACTGTAACATAGCATGCATATACTTAAATATGTAGTTACATTATGGAATCTGCAAAAGAATTAGAGGTGCCTAGGAGCCTGCCTTGGTTCTCAGTTGGGGGTTGCTCAACTTCAGTCACTGGGTCCTCGTCGGTCGGGTTTTCTTCCTTCTGGGGTTCTTCACCTATACAATACATGATGTGAATGAGTACAAGTGAAAAAACATAATTTTCTAGCCGATTAAACCCATCACCTTCTTCATTATACAATTTTGTAGTTGATAATTTTATTACTTGAGATCTTTAGAGATTGCACCAGTATCCACCTCAATTCATATGTATTTTTTGTTGGCAAATTAACTAATTTTCACACAATCCACTCCAATACACTATACATGTGGATTGATGTAACACCTCTGGTATTACGAGCTCGCTAAGCACTGAG